CTCAGCAGCACTCATTCAAAGATCTGTAAATCCTCAGACACGCAACAAACCCTCCATAGGATACAAATATTGAATTTCATCTAATGGGCTCGTAGAAATTCATTATTGTTGGGATATATAAAATCTTATAATTGCATGATTATAATGTTACATTTTTAATAGTGACTCTATAAATTAATACAAAAATACATAATTTAAGTTATTAGTAAACTATCTCTGCTGTCCCTCCAAAGGATGGAAATTGCACTTTTAAACTCACTATTGACACACAACAAGACCCCTCAGAAAAGTGATAATTTAGGATATATCTTTTTAAAGCTCCATTGAATAAAATGTCAAAATCAGATCAGTTTTGGGCCACATAAACGGTTTGTGTTCTCAGTGTGTTTGCAGCTTGTACATGGATTTGTAAGATGCAGGTAGAGGGGAGGCCGGGGGTCTCGGCTCGCTGCAGACCTTGACACAAAGTGCATTAAGTTGCCTGATCTCTCTCAAACCGTTTGATTAATTCACTCCCATTCAAGACCAAGCGAGCAAGGAGTGGAGGGACGTGACCAATGACATAATGGGGTCTGTCAAGCAGCCTTGCAAAACGCCCAGACCATTTGTGGTGACAATCCTGATGCCATCAGTTCCATTATAGACCCCCATTCAGCCCAGAAACAAACATAGCTTTACTCCCAAAAAGGGAAAAGTCAGCTTTCTGTGTCAATAGATTTTGGCTCAAGGCTCATTGTGGGCATCTGATTCCCTCCAGCCTTTAAACAACATGCTTGTTTAACCACAAAAACAATTAAAAAAAAGACATGTATGCATGCATTTACCCTCTACGAAAATTGCTGTGATTATATTTGTTGTGTTTATAATATTTTAGTATTTTTAATTAGGAAATTTCACTAAAAACACTTTCATTTGAAAAGAAACAAAAGGCTGCCCTTTGCTGATAACGCATTTATATTATCATTAACATATTGTTTGTGCAGTGTGCACACTTCTCCTGTTAAAGAATGCTCATTGTATTAAGATTTAACTCTTCACATCCCAAAACCTGCAGGAAGCTCCTTCCCTTTGTCCTGAATTCACTCCTGTGATAATCGCATCAATCAGAAGCCAATGTGCAGAGACAAGTGTGGAGTAAAGGAGAGATCATGGAGATGCTCAAAGATTAATATAAAAGGACTTCTGAGTCTTAACACACATTAAAGACTTCAAAGTAGAGTAAGGGAAATGTAGCATCAGATGCTTTGTAAAGCAGAGCCTCCTCTATGAGATGGATGTCTTGCGTGCTGGAAAAAAGCTCAGGATGAAAGCTGAGAGGCCGAGAGAAGAGCCTCTCACTGCATGCATATAACACCAATGTTAGAGGGGTAGCATTCTGCAAGAAAACTCCTCTGAAATGTGTGATATGTTGCTTAAATAAAGGGGGAATTACTAGTTGTCAATCTCCCATAACATGGCCAAATACTAAGATTCAACATGCATGACAAGTGTTGTCATTTGGGTATTCATGACAGCAGCAAACATGGTCAATTGAGTCTCTCTAAACCTTTTGGAAAATGTTGCATGATCAGATATTTAAATGTGCTATATAAAGATTGAAATTGAGATATGGTCATCAGTGGTCATCAATGTTATTATTATTATTATCACATTTGAATAAAAACAAATTCTTCAGTGTTTTTTAGCTTGAAGATATCAACCAGAATGTACACATGAGCTGCATGCTGCAATAACCCGAGAGCCATAGAGAAGAACATATGACTAGTAAGAGTATTATTACTGACAGGAGGAGACTATAATCTCGCAATTTCATTTTATGGTTTTGCAAATAGTAAAAGTAAAAATGCATCAAAGCAAAATGTGCGGAATCAACTGAGAGGCAATGACACATTTTAAAACACTTATCAGAGCAGAAAGCCCCACTTGGTTGTTCTTTATATTTTATTCTAATCGGAATATAAAATATAGCGTACGAGTAAAATGCTTTTTTTGTTATATTTCCCTGTAAATCAAGGGGGGTTTCTCTCCATCGTGAAGTGTGAAACGCCTTCCTTAGATCAGCCGACAAAGAGATAATAGGCAGGGAAGTCTGTAGTCTCTTTATTGTTGCTTTAACCAGTTTGAGGGAAATGCACCGTGTCCTTCTTTCCCTCCCCATCAAACCTCCTCCTCGCTTGTCCCGATTTTCCTCCCTTACCACACCCTGTTTGTTTTGGGCCGAATGGAACCAAACACGGAGATATTGAGCGATTACCAGCGCATTCCTGTCAGGACACACCAAGTTTCATCTCTCTGAGAAAGCTTTGGTGTGTCACTCACTGCCTGCTCCTTTCTTTCTTTCTTTATCCTCAGAGCTTCGAATGAAAGGTTTAAATACAGTTGTTAGAATGAAGTGAGTGTAGGTTTAACAGCGCATTGTTTACGTGCGTAAAAAGGTCGTTGTACGTAAGAAAATACAAATATTATTAAGCTAATTATTCTCGCAGTAGTCAAAATATTCGCGGTGTTCAATATTAAAATAATAATACGAATAATGATAACACATCAGCAGCAATAATAATAATAATTCTGTTATAAAGTTGACAAAATGTAATATATTAAAACCTATATTTATCATCCTCTGACATCCTAATGTCCTTCCTTTCTTTTTTCACTTCATTATTATATAATAACCCGTAAATATGTTTTTAATTTAGCTTTCGTTTTCGCTTTTGATGTATTTCATTTTCCCTATTATTTTTTATTTTAAATAAACAGTAATCCCTCCTGTAGGTGAATAACTGGCGCAGAAACCTGTCTTTGTGTTAGACCGATGCAAAGAGGAGGGGAACATTTCGAAACTGCTCCAATATACTGTAAAAAAAAAAACGAAATACTATTTTTGTATGTGGGTTATCCTATAAATAAAATGTTCAACACTGTATATTACTTTTATGATCTGTAGGCTCCTTTACACGCTAGCTAAGATACACAACTGTATTTATTTTCAGGAAACCAACAACATAGTTTTAATTTGATACTTTAAAAAGCTATTACATATCAGAATAAGTCCTGATAACTCGTTAATATGGCTCTGGCACTCATCAAATACATGTTTTTTTGCATCACTGTAACATCCCTTTGCTCTTCTATCTACTATATATTCATATTTGAGTCTTCATCGACACATTTCTCTCTCATAACGTGTCTCAGGATCTCACAGTTGTTCCTCAGAAGCCTGGAGAAATTAAAACTCGGCCAGAAAATGTTGTCTCATTTAAATTCTCACCTTCAGCTCTCTGGTGACTGGTAATGGTCCGAGAGGAGCTGACGCTTAAAAATCATCAAGATATTCTCACTGTACGCTGCCTGTTTAACGAGTTCTGTCATGCCTGGCACATTAAGACATTGTAAAGAGAAAAGCAGAATATAGAGACAATCTTTCTTGCAGTAGGCAGATAAATTAAACATAGAAAATGCATGCAAGGCAGGGCGCTGCAGCCTTACTTACTCTGTGCTCTGTTGAGGCTCCGCAGTTTAATTACAAGCCCTAATTCCCAATCGCAGATAGTGTCAAAAAGTCTGCGACTATTTCTCAGAGATTCCCTTTAACAAGTGGAAACTTAGTGTCCTCCTGCACCATTTTATACATGATGAGCCGTCAGTAATGGGATTATTAAACAAAAACGTTTCAGGCGCTGGCGTTAACCTTTTTTAATGCCTAATTAGGTTTTGCAAAGAAATAATTAGATTCTACAGTGCTTACACTGCCTATATTTTCAAATGGCATCTGCAGCAAACACATCATCCTGCGACACTGGTGCCAATAATCTGCGGGTATATGCGCTGCAGCAGCAGTCAGATGTAAGATTTTAAAACATGTTGCGACCAAATAAGGTGCTCTTAAAGCTAAAATAATCATCCAACACAGGCTATAAGAAATCCGCAGACAAACCATAGACGGGTCGAGTGCGCCCTCTGGTGGACAACACGCAACATAACATTCACATTGATCAGTAAATCATTATATCATTTTTAATAAATAAATATTCGACACATTTGTTATGTTAAGTGTCTCCTGAAATTCAGAAAAGAGCATTTTTTTTATCCAAAAAGTAGGTTACATAAACAGTATGTGCTCTAAACATGAGGGCGTTGACCACTGCGCATGCGCATTTACAGGTTTTCCCCTGAGCTGTGCACATGCGATGCTCAACATACAATGTAAATCTGTGATAAAGTTGATTAAACGTTATGTTATCTGATCCCTGCAAGAAGTGTTTTCTTTAAAAAGACACGTATCTGTGATATAGTTATGTACATGTGTCCAATTTTGGAATTAGTGTCTGATCGTGATTTTAGTAGGATTTCTAACAGATACTCAAATGATATTGCAAAATTGTGACGTTATCATTTCAAAAGAAGGGAGATAAACAAAATAATTGCTTCACTTGCTGCTCAAACACTTTCAAACATGTGGGAAAATGTCTATAAATAGGTAAGTTTGTGGTTTTTCTATACAGTAACTTACTGTTGCTAGGCTATTTTTTCCTAAAATGATGAGCACATAGAGATTTAATCTGAGTATCTGTTAGAAATACATAGTAATCTATCAGACACTAATCTGCTAATGCATAAACTGGGCCACTGGTTTGAAATACTCTCCTTCTTTACAAACAAAACATTCAAGTTGAAAACAATGTATTCCATTTGGAAACACCCAAACAAAACAGTCTTATAGCAAACTCTGGATATTAAACTGTAATATGTGTATTTTGTAGGTACAGCAAATGGTTAGTTATGTCACACTCATAAGACATATTGGTTTAACAGTTTATTGTTTTTAATTTGTAGAACATTGTGCATTTTATTGGCACCTGATTGTCCAATTCTGTCAGAACTAAGAGCAGAAAGAAGAGCAGTTCACAGTGTTACCACTAGAGGGGAGTGTTGTCTGTGATCCGTGTCTGGGATCCGGAACTCTCCTTCTAAAATATCGCGAGAGTCACGTCGCTTCAGAAGGTCAGCTGATCATTTACCTCAGTGACTAGCAGCCTGTCAATTTCAAGCTAGCACGCAACGTAACGGTTCTACTCTGAATCACTGGTAAGCTGTCCACTTTATAACTGGTATATATATATTATCAAGCAGTAGTATTCCTTCTCTACTAGCTCATTTAAACGGCTTACGTTAGCCATCGTATTAAGGGCTATCGATGTAACCAGTGGAGGGTTAGCTTATATGCTAGTAACGATGGTAACACACAGCGAATATTCTAGAGCCACCTGCCGCTAACATTAGCATTAGCATTGATAAACCACCGACAATAGTCTTTATTGTATGTTTACACCAATTTGTTTGGGATTATTCATGTTCATCAGTAGCATAAGCAACTGTTACAATAATTTACGTTTGTTTCGGTGCTTCATATAATAATGTAGTCATTACTTATCCAAACTAGAGAAGGCTAGGTGGGCTAACCTAGCTAGCGTTAAGTCTTTCATTTCAGTTTTAGCCTATATTGACATAGATTGTAGTAGTTATTTTTGAGTGCGGTTTTTCCTGTGACTGTTGGTCCCACATAGATGAATGATTTCACCGTGAGGGACATGGTGTCTTTCAATTTGCTTAGCTAAAAAAACACAGTGGGGGAGGAAGTATTCAATACCACAACAAAAAAATACAGATTTTCCAGTAAAAGTCCTGCAATTAACAATAGGTCAATACCACACAGTAAAACCATGCATTGAACATAATACTTAATGTAATATAAAAGTGTGTAGGGTAATTATAATCAGGAATATAGCTATTTAGAGTTAAAAAGTGAAAGGATTCCCTGTGAGTGGTATGTTGCATGATTGCCTATACAAATCGCAATTTAGGATGTACTTGGTAACTATAGCTGTCAGATCAATGATGTGTAGTCAAAAGTAAATGATACCTCTGAAACAAAGACTAGTACATCGTTTTTGGAATATCTTTTTTTGTTCATTTCCTGACAGAATTAATAGGCTGACTTGTCAAAAAAGACACACATTGTTAATAGCAGTTCTGGGAGGGGATTATAAGCAGTAAGTTACGTGACCCCTGCTGGTAGTCAGTATTGCTTCATGGTGTTACTTTTTTCCCAACAGAGCAACCCACAATCCCAAAGATGGCTGACACCAACGAACAAAGTCCTCCTCCTCCTCCTCCTCCACAGCTAGGGCCTGTGGTAAGTTGTCTGTTTGATCTAACCCTTCAACTATTTCTCCCTTTTGAAAGGTGTTCTGATTCCACGTACAAAGATACTACTAAGCCTACTATCTAGCCCCTAAGCACTTTACAGAGTCACCCAAACTGTCAGTAACCCTTAGAGCTTTATTACATTGTTAATAATGTCAATTAAGCATTCATAGTTTTTTTAATAATGGATTATTTGTGTTTATGACTTACACATGAAAATGAAAAAATAATCATTTTTGCACAGAAATGAATGTTGCTGAAATATTTCTAGCGCTGCAACGATTAAATCCTCAACCATTTCAGTAATCATAATTAGTTAATTGTTTAGGGCTTTTCTTCAATTATAAATCGTAAGAAATTCAACAAACGTCTTCTCTAACGTGATTTATTTTATTAAATTAAACTGCATAGTTGCTTGTTGTCTCCTGACATGTGATCAGAAGGCAGGACAATTAACTGCGATATTGAACTAAGTTGTTTTTGAGTCGAGCTTGGCTTTGCTGACCAATGAGGGAGCATGAGGGGAGGTCTGAGCCTTTCAGTAAAACACTTTTCAGTAAGCGTGAGACAACAGAAAACCTTCCTGTCACCTGGATATCCCAGTACTTTGCTTCAAGCACATGTAACACTGTACACCATCTACCCATGATCTTATATCGTAAGTGATGGAGCAGGTTATTAATTCAGCATTAATCCTAAATTTATTTTTTCTCTCTTCCACAGCAATTTTTAATGAGTAACAAGCTAGAAACTGCAATGTGGCTTTCACGGCTCTTCACTGTCTACTGCTCCGTAATGTTTATTCTACCGATTTTAGGGTGAGTACATTCAGTGACCGAGCACATCATCAACACACTGCTTTCACCTATTCTCCTTTCTCCCAGCCTGAATTTGTGTCAGACTTGTTGTGACTGATTGTTTGTTTCAGACCCTATGCAGCAGCTAACTTCTATCAGCGAGCCTTGTTAGCGAACGCCCTCACCAGTGCCCTTCGCTTACATCAAAGGCTTCCACGCTTTCAGCTGAGCAGAGCCTTCCTGGCCCAGGCTCTTCAGGAGGACAGCTGTCATTACCTGCTCTACTCACTCATCCTGGTCAACTCCCACCCCATCACAAGTATCCTTTACCCTTCAAACATGGGGAAAAGACAGCTGGATAGTGCTGGGTGTAATGTTGAGATTCTCCATTCATCTGTTTTAACAAGGGTGCAATTAGAGTTTCTTATTAGTCCCATGATCGTCCCATGATTTAGATCAGCGGTGGGGGGCGCCAGAGAGCTTCAGGGGACGCGCAGCGTGAGAAAAAAATAACGAGAATTTCAGCTAGTTAACTTCAGCTTACTTTATGCGAGCGGTAACATGGATCGATCTGTTCTTATGTTCTCTGAGGGGAGGCTCATCTTCCCGCACTTTGAAAACCCCTGATTTAGATCATTTTAAGATACATGTATCAGGGTTTCCGTTAGCCGGTAATTACCGTTTTTTTAGCTGGTAACATTTATTAAAAACCGGTAAATTCAAAACCTGCCGGTCAAAATGTCCGGTAATAATTAGGGATGCTTATCGGCCGATATTCACTCTTAATAGTTTGATCGGTGCTCTCTATAAAGGCCAATCAGGAGAGCTTGAACTGATCGATATGGACATAAAGAGAGAGAGGATCAGCTGCTGAGTCTGACGGAGACACGCAGCTCTGCATGATCACCTGAAGCCCCGCCCACTGTTTAGCGAGCTGAGAGAGAGAGACACAAAGAGAGAGACACACAGACAGACATTATGTTGTTTCATCATTTATTGAAAAATGAATCTGAACTTTTCGATCTGTTACGATTACAAACATCAGCATATCCGGTCATAGTCCGGTAATTACCTGCTAACGGAAACTCTGCTACACAATTCTTCTTGTTATTATTGAAACATGACCGGTAAGTTTCAAATTTGTCCGGTAAAATACATTCTCTCCGGACATTTGACCTGCAATAAAAAATCCTAGCAGAAACCCTGACATGTATATAAACGATGTAACTCTAATAATTGCACGAAATCATTGTGGGATGGTTATTCTGTCTTTTGATATGATGATCCTTAACCTTTGTGTCCAGTGAGCATATTCCCAGTCTTCCTCTTCTCAGTGCTTCACGCAACTACCTACACAAAGAAAGTCCTGGATGTGAGTGTGAAGCTGTTGTGATGTATAATGCTGAAAGACAGACATTCTTTGTTTAAGCCCCGGTTAGAAAATGACCTACCAAATGTTGATTTTAGTTATTCATGAGACTTGCTTTTGCTTGACGTTGTTGTCACTTTCTGATGTTTGAATCTTTCTTCTTTGCAGTCCGTGGGCCCCAGCAGCCTGATGTTCATCAGAAACCTTTTGGACAAACTTACATCTAACCAGCAGAACATCCTGAAGTTTATTGCCTGCAATGAGATTTTCTTGATGCCAGCCACTGCTTTTCTGCTCTTCAGGTAAGTGCCCATGGAAAAGGACAATTTCAACCAAAACATAACGCTTTTTTTCTGTTTACTCGCCTGCTTTCTGGTCTGTAGTGATGTTAAATGTGACGATAAAGGCATACTTATTTATGTAGTCAACCATCTAAACTTATTTTAGCGGGTGTTCCTACAGACAGTTTTCTGCTTATCAATCTTGTGTTGCCAGACATACTCAGGACAGATAAAGGCAACCAAAAGAGACCGGTATTTCCTGTTGTCAATCACTTTTGGCGGCGTGTGGTGCAGTGGATTGTGTGTAGGTGTTGGGATCAGGGGGGCACAGGTTCAAACCCCACTGCAGTCAGCATGTCGTTGTGTCCCTGGGCAAGACACTTCACCCCAAATTGCTCCTGTGGGGATTGCCCACAGTACTGAGTATGTAAATCGCTTTGGATAAAAGCGTCTAACAAGTGACATGTCATGTAATGTAATTTTTTTAAGTCACTATAATTGCCTTTTAAATCGTGGGGGCAGCAATAGTGCAAACCAAACAAATCCCAGTTCCCATAATTACCACATTATCTATATTAGTAGATTGTATCTACCAGTGCGTGTCAGCTTCTATAGTTGTCTGACACGTAACATTTTCATATTCAAATTCACAAGGCAGTCTGCACGAAGAGTTGGATTGCATTCGATTATGCAGCTGTTCACTGTTATGTCAATTTTCATTTGTATTGAATGTTTTGAAAAGTGCTGAACAAATTAAGTGATTTTATTCATGTTGTTTATTGAATTGCATTTTAATCTCAGTTTCCACTTTGTCTTTGAAACAGTGGCCAGGGGAGCTTGCTGCTGCCTTTTATTTACTACCGATTCCTCACCCTCCGCTACACATCCAGAAGAAACCCATACTGCCGGTAAGATGAGAAATAATATTGTAACAAAGCTCAGGTCTTTATGAAATTGAGGACATAAAACATCATTATTGCAGAATCTTTTCAGTACAGTTCTCGCAGTGTTTTGCTGCTTTTGCCCGCAACATTTGTCATTAAACATTAAATATTTATTTTAAAGTATATTTCTTTGCAAAACAACATTAAATTAAATCAGAAGATATGGCATGTTTGGAGCGATGGAAATTCCATTTGCATCCTTTGGAACCAAAAACGGACCTGGACTGATATTATTGGCCAAGATTTCCGCATCTTTAGTACAGTATAGATGTCTCAGTGTGTGTTGGCCAACATGTTATGAGAAATACTACTATTGAAATTGCCTTTTGAGCCAATTCAGAAACTGTGTCACAAATAGATTCTTTATCTCTTAGAGGTCAGTATATATAACTTTAAATCTAGTCGGGCTATAAGTCTGGCTCTACTACATGTGTTGTGTGTGTGGAAAAGGCCTGGCAATGAATATTCTATATTTAACTGAACAATCAATAATTCAACATCTGTAACATTGCAATAAGCGGGTGGTTGTAGTTCTGAATCTCTCTGGAGCAACTGGAAGGGCAGTCTGCTCCAAAGGATTGATTGACATGCTATTTAGCTTACAGAAATACACTGTAGGCAAGGACTGAGATCAATCATAAGCAAGGATATTAACGAAGGCGTTGACATTGGAGAAAAATAAAACTAATCGGGGTTCTTACGGTCATTAAAAACCTGGAAAAGTCATGGAAATTCAAAATGCTAATTCCAGGCCCTGGAAAACAATGTTTCCCAAAGTTTTGGAAAAGTCATGGAAATGTAACTAAAGTTGCATCAAATATAATTTATATTTTATCTAATCGCCGAAATAGTAATACTATAATGATAATAAATACTGTATAATAATGAAACGTAAAATGGCATTTAACTGACGAGGTATTTTGCTGGTGAGAGATTTCAGTTGCTTTAGCGTGTAGAAGCTAGTAAGCCTATTTGATTTGTTTTAGATAGGCACAACATGTTTCAGACCTTATTTTCCTGTTCCATGTTAAAATAAACCATTTTCAGTGGTACCGCTGAGAAAGAGTCATGTTTTTGGTCATGGAAAATTAGGTGAAGGTCATGGGAAAGTCATTGAAAATCATTGGTGAAAAAGTGTATGAACCCTGTAACGTAGAAATGTAGGAAAGGATATAAAATGTTCTTTACAGGTGTGGGATTCAGAAATGTAAAATCTTTGAAGGACTTCCCTGATTTGAGTATCTAACCCATCCGTGTCCTCCCCAGCACCTTGTTCACGGAGCTGCGGATCCTCATGGAGCATTTCATCATGAAGCCCGCCTGCCCCGCCTTCTTCAGGAAGGCGTGCCTCAGCAGCATCGCATTCATCAGCCGCCTCGCCCCCACGGGGGTCTGATCACGCTCCATAGAAGTTTTGTTTTCTTTATGTTTAGTTTTTCCACCATTTTAAGATGTGACTTAAACTTTGATGAGGACAGACGTTGCCATCAACAGAAGGAACTGTTTTTTGAATGTCAACTTTACACTCTTTGCTCCAACTTCTCTGTATGTTGGAGTACAGTTGAAGAGCAGCCAGTAATGCACTGAAGTCTCATGGTGATGTTCCTTTCCCCATCTTCTTAATGTGACCTCATTCGGGCGGTGGACACCCTCACTATGTTACGTTCACTGGATGCAGCTCAGTTGTCATCAGCTGTAACGTGATGTACCGGCTGTTATCTTTGTTTCCTTTTTATGTCCTTATTTATTCATGAAAATCGCTTATTATATGATGAAACATTAACATTCTGAGATTAGTAACTTAAATTAAAATAAGCTTATACATTAATAATAATTTTTTTAATGATCATGATGTGCTTGGTTGAATGGAGTTTGTGTGCAGCTTCTACACGGTCCAATTTCTTTTTGTATGTGCAAAGCATCCAAGGCTCTGATTTGACTAAATGCCTAACTTTAAGTGTATCCTATCAACTAACTGTTTTTAACAACTTGAAAGTCTATGTAGGTATGATGTTGATTTGAGAAACAAGATATCTGCTGTATTTTATAGAATATTTTAAGGTACCAAGCATTTTGCGGTAGGATTGATAGATGAAAGGATTAGCACGATGCCTGTCATGTTTTGAATGCATTCTCACCTTGTTTCTCAGTCTGATATCTCTTTTCATATTGCTTCATTTATTTGTTGCTATGTAGTTTGTATTTTATTTTTTTGCATAACGCATGCTCTGATTTCTTTGTCTGCCATGTTAAATGTGTTCATTTGCCTACAGACAAACCACGTTTTTATGACAAGAATAAAATGATCTCTTAATTAAACCAATAAAATATTAAAGAACAGCAATGTGGTTTGAGGTTATACATTTGATCTGATATATTTGTAGTTAATCTTATCCTAGTTATTGACACAAATGAAAATGTAAAGGGTGGTCAAAGAGTGCAGACCTTTGCCTAGGCTGTTTTAAATAAGAAAATGTCTATCCTAATATAGATATTTGGTAGCTTAACATGAGTTCTTTAAAAAAAAGTGAATGATAAATGTTACTGACCCTTTTATGTATACATGTGAATGAGAAGGACAAACATGTGGAAACACCTCAATATAATGTAAGGTAGTGCAGGTAAATACCACACATGTGACTATGAACATAGTTATAATTATAATAAAGGTTGATTTTAATAAATGCATAATTGAATGAACGCATTTTTCAATGACATCAAAAAGTGATGGCAGAACAGTTGCATTGATCTGCAGCCTTTATATATACAGTCTATGTCTGCAGCCTACAGAGTTTCTTTGCGTGTCCACCAATCAGAACACACCTTAAATGTCTTCTCAATCTCATCCAATGGTATCACATCTTATCCACCAATCAGGACACAGCATGGATCTCTGTTGCATCCCATCCAATGGTATCACAGGTTCTTACAACTGCAGCGTTGCTATTGACAACGGGCGCTTCGTTTATCTGGTCTTGAACGTTTCTGCCTAACTCATTAAAATAGGTTTAAATGCGTTTTTAACAGCATTTAAAGACCACAGCCTGCCTCAAATAGGTTGCTGTGGCTCGTTAGATTTAATGAAAGATTACATCAGTTTAGCACAGTAGAGAGTTTTCGTGTTAATAGATCGTGTTAGACAATTAGCTTGCTAGCTAACATTAGCACGTCGAGCTAATCTCTTTGGATAATCTCACTTCACCAAAACCCACCACCCGTAATTCCGATGGAAATGTTATCGAGCCGTTTTAGATAGCTTTAGGGGGTTCCTGTGGTACTGGAAAACCTACCTGGAAGAATTGCAACACTTTTTTTCGCCACTAAAATAACACCCAGTGGAGAAAGAAGATGGAGATCCACCTTAATCGAGTGGATTATATTCAGGTAACACAAAGTATAGACAGTGGATTGGTTTTGTTCCGAGGTGGAAGAAGTACTCAGATTGTGTACTTCAGTAAAGTACAACTACCAGAGTCTAGGAATACTCTGTTAAAAGTCCTGCAGTCAAACACGTATTGGCATCAAAATACTTAAAGTACCAAAAGAAAAAGTACTCATGTGCAGATTGGTCCATTACAGAATTATATTTATTATGTTTTGATTATAATTATTAACGAAATAATGTGTTTATCACATGTTGTAAAAGTGCAGCTAATTTTAATTACTTTCTATGCTGCAGGGTATCTTAATACAGGTGTGACTTTATTCAAGTATTGAATACATACAATTAATTAAAGGTGCTACAAAAATGTAGTGGAGTTAAAGTATAATATTGACCTCTGAACTGTTGTGGGGGTACAAAGAATTTAAAAAAAAAATGAAATACTAAGGTAAAGTACAAGTCCCTCAACATTATACTTAAGTACAGTACTTAAGTACATGTACTTAGTTACTTAACATCAATGGTTTTGTTTAAGTTGGTTGTTTATTCATGTTAGTAGATGTACTGTCTATTCAGGGTTTCTGCCTCAAGTAAACTACTTTTAGTTTTACTTTTGTTGATTGCTATTTCCTCACAGGTTGGTGTGACATCCCAGAAAACTATGAGGCTGCTTCCAGCAGTGGGGAAAAAGGCAACCCAAAAGGTAATAATATATCAAAACAATGCATATGCAACATTATACCAAGACAAACAACTTGTAGCTGTGTATTGTGTTTGGATTAAACAATTTAATTTAGTATATTTGAAAGAAGGAAGGGTCCAGATTTATACATAAATATGATATAAATAGTCCCTGGCTCAGGTATTACAATAAGCTTCCTACAATACATTAGAGAGAGCATGAAGGTCAGAGGTTGTAAAAGGACACAGTTATCAGAAGCAGAAGTGATATTTATACATGCTATGTGATCATTTAAACTACAGCCTGATTCTTCGTTGTTGTCCCTTTGTATCAGGTTGCTGTTGCTGATCATGATGGTATCCTAACCTGTTTTGGGATGAAGAAGGGAGAAGCAGTGGTGAGTGTCCATTTTACGATTTTTCTTTTAGTCAGTTGGATTTTAACGTGTTGAATTTCAGTCTCTAATGGAAAGGAATCTGACTCTGTTTCAGCCTGTGTTCAAAACACTGCCAGGGCAGAAAATAACCAGGTTGGATCTTGGAGGAGCTGCGGGAACTCCACAGGAGAAGATCTTTGTTTGTTCTGGTTCTCAGGTCCGAGGATTCACCAAGAAAGGCAAACAGTTCCTCACCTTTGAAGCCAACCTCACTGAGAGCATTAACGCCATGTAGGAGACACTTCTTTTACTCTTTTTTTTTAATTAACTTGCACTGCTGGCTTGACAAATTCAGAACTGTGTGATTTACACCATTTTTTAAGCAGTGATGGTTATCTCTTCTTCAGGCATGTCTCCGGCGCTGATCTTTTTGTGTGTGCGAGTTACATCTACAACCACTACTGTGACTGCAAGGACCAAGACTACTACCTCTCTGGAGACAAAATCAATGACATCACATGTCTATCCTCAGAAAACCTGACTCGCTTTGTCCCGATCCTGGCCTGCCAAGATCGGGTTCTCAGAGTCTTGCGGGTAAAATAAGATTAGATTCAATCAATCAATCAATGTTTATTTATATAGCCCAATATCACAAATGTTACATTTGTCTCAGTGGACTTCACAGTTTGTACAGAATATCAGTATGACAATACGACACCCTCTGTCCTTAGACCCTCACATCGTACAAGGAAAAACTTCCAGAGAAAAACCCACAGTTTAAAGGGGAACATGGGAGAAACCTCAGGGAGAGCAACAGAGGAGGGATCCCTCTCCCAGGACGGACAGACGTGCAATAGATGCCGTGTATAAATCGAAGAGATAATACATTTTACAGCATAGGTAGACCAAATGTTTGGATATGCATGTGTCTATAATAAGAAGATGAATCCAGGAGGATGTCAACAATCCTGTGGGAGCCATCAGGGAAGTAGTATGATGAGAGCCAGGCAGGACCGCAGAGACAGGTTCAGCCACGACTCGAAGTCCAGGACTCAGGATAGAGGATCCAGTGCTCAGGGTCCAGGACACAGGACCGCAGCAACAGGATCAGCCATGACTCAGGATCCCGGCGTAGATAGACACCAAAAATACATTTGGGGGAAGCTGGGTTATTCGGAACATGAGAGTACACGGGTACAGACAGAGAGAAGGAAGAAGTAAGGTGTTCCCCGACAATCTAAGCCTATAGCAGCAAAACGAACGTGTCTACGTGCATGCACTCCCTGAGGATAGGTTGAGGGAAAGGGGTAGCAAGTAAGAAGTAATTGATTGACTGTTTTGATTTTATTACCGTTAGTTGTTTCACCTCAAACTAACAGACTCAATTTATTTTTATTTTGTTTCCTGTAGGGATCAGAGCTTGCCTATGACATTGAAGTCCCTGGCCCTCCATCTCTCTTGGAACTTTACAATAAAGACGGAGGCAAGTGGACCTCTGTGTGCTGTGTGCTAGAGCAATTCAATAAAAAGAATAGGATCAGGAATGATCTAACATTACTTTCATGATTTCTCTACAGGGGAGGAAATCCTCTATGGAACTACAGATGGTAAAATAGGATTGGTGCACATTGGTGAGAGCTCAGCGTCAACCAAATGGGAGATAGACAACGACAAAAAGAAAGGAGGTGGGTATTTCACAGGATCATCACACCCTTCAACAAATCACTAATATGTTAGGTTGCACCACATTCGTAGTTTTACACTCTTTTGTCTCCATCAGGAATTCTTTGCATCGACACTTACGACATTGTGGACGACGGAGTGAATGACCTTCTGGTGGGCAGGGATGATGGCACAGTGGAGGTCTATGGCTTCGACAGCGCCAGTGAGCCCACGTTACGCTTCGAGCATGTGAGTTCATCTTTTATCAGTTTATAGAATTACAAATCCTGTATGTCTATCAGTGGATTTGTTTCCATGTACCCAGGTTTATTCATGTCAATGTTCCTTCTTACAACTACAAGGAAACAATAGTATTATGTTTTTTTGCCCCTGCATTGATACCTTGCTTGGCTTTTCTTAGATGCCCCTACAATTGTAATTGTATTGCATGATTTATTCTGATCATTGATGGCCAAAGTTTCCTGTCTTTCCCGCCTTCAGGTGTTGTCAGAGAGCATCACTTCCATCCAGGGGGGCTGCGTAGGGAAAGAGTCTTATGATGAGATCCTGACGACCACTTACACAGGTAAGATTACAAAAAGAACTAGATTATAAACAGCACCTAGTCAAATACTTCTCTAAGAAGAATATGCGTTTTTGTCTTGCTTATGCTAATGGTAAAACTGTCTGACTTGTAGTGGGAGCTCTTAAAACCCAACCATTATTGTTAAGTAGTTAAAGGTCCCATGTCATGGCCATTTCTACTGATCATAATTCCATTGTTGAGGTATACTAGAATAGATTTATATTGTGCAATTTTCCAAACTCACATTGGTTTCTGAGGCCCCGGCTCCACGAGGACAAATACGGCAAAACGCATCGGAGTAACGCAAATGCAACCGCAAAAAACCTTCCGTCCCCACGCAATATACACCGGATTGTGTCAAGCTCCACGAGACGGCTCCGTTTACATCCAAACGCTGGAAAAGCTGCAGTACATATGCCGAACCTGTACGTGGCGCTGTAACTTCCTCCACAAAAGCAGCAACTTCCTCCACAAAAGCAGCAACTTCCTCCACAAAAGCAGCGAAGAAGAATGGTTGTCATGGCTGCACTTCTGTGTATTCTCCGCGGTGGGGGCCGACAGAACCGGGCAGAGTTTTTCGCCGGTCAGCGTGTGTTAAAGTTTAAATCTTCCGGACAAAATTATAAAAGTGCCGGTCAAAGGTCTTCATTGTTATTTATTGAGCTTTAAAACAAATGAATAACGACGATATAATGATATATAATCATCAAATACACGGAGCCTGTCTCTTTTTCCTCTCTTCTGACAGCGTCAGTGTCTGTCTCATGCAGCAGCTGATCCTGTAATGAGTGACCCGACAGTAAAAATGAACATATTTATAACTAGTTTAGGTAGTTTGAGAGGTAATTAAAATAGCTAAGGGTGATGATCTGACTTGAAGTGTGTGTTTTGCTCCCGCTGCATCACAGCGGCAGGAGCTGCGTGTCTCCGTCCTGTCAGATTAGACTTCACTCGCGTTTATGTCCATATCGAGATAAAGATAAATAATCTGAATTCAAGGAGGAGCTCCTGTAGATGTTGCACAAAGAACTGTAGCATGGTCAGTAGCGACTGGAGCACGATAGCAACCCTGCGGGGGAGAGGCGGGGAGAGGCGGGGCTATGAAAACGAATGACCGTATAGGCGACTCCACGGCCCCGTTGGACCCCCCAGAGCGCTCCGTTCCCAGATCTATCCACCTTTGGACCCGTTGTCGTTTGCGGGGTCTGTTTCTACGTTTCCCTTACGGCGTCGTCGAGCTTAGAGGGCTATACGCATGAGAAATATGCGGATTCAACCCGTTTTCGTCCTCGTGGAGCCGGGGCCTCATACAGCATCTCTGTATAGCATGTGTATTCACTCTCTGTCCTAAACGGCTTGTTGGAGCTCCTGCCCCCCCCTCTCCCTGTGAGCCCACTGTGCTCTGATTGGTCAGCTCGCCCACTCTGTTCTGATGAGTCCACCACCGTTACAGCGGAACATCAGTAATTATGTGTTACAATGGCGTTAGCAACCAGAAAATGACACCAGTAAGGACAAACAGATGAGAATGCTGCGTGGGGTCTGGGTGCCGTGTTGGCGGGACGTTGCGTGGCTCGCTGCTGCGAGGAGCGGACAGTGTGAGCTGGGTTCATTTCCTGCTTGCTGCGCGAATGGACGCGGGAAGGGGGGGGTGCTGAGGGGGCTGCAGCACCCTTATCTGCGAGGCTCCACTAGCACCCGCACCCCCAAACGCGGCGCACCTACAGTGTAAGTGCGCCACAGTTTCGCCGCTGCGAGGCTCCACTAGCACCCCCCACCAGCGCGTCACAGTTTCGCCGCTGAGAGAGTGTGTGTGTGTGAGGAGCTCCACGGATTGGTCCATTTGGACCAATGGGTCCATTTGGGTATGGTCACGTCACTGTACCCAGGAAGAAAATAATAGAAAAAGAGAAATCTCCAAACGAGGCGTTCTGGGGCAGCATAGACAGGTCTTTTCTGTGTTAGAGTTTTACTCCCTACAGGGTGTACTTTGAGGGTTTTTGACTCTGCAGACCGTTTACATGCATACAAACCTTCATAACACACAAGGGGACGGGTAATAACCAGAAAAGCATGACATGGGACCTTTTAAAGGAGATCTGACATGCAGCATATTCCACTTTCTTTCAGGTTGGGTGACTGGTTTAACAACTGAGCCGCAGAAGGCTGAGGCCGGCCCCGGAGACGAGATAAGAATGAGCAAGGAGGTCCAGTCCAAAGTAGAAGCACTCAGGTACCAAGTGCTTTATTTACTTATTTCACTGTCTGTCGTTGTGCCTTTTTTAATGGATGTTTTGAGGTATGGTTGTATGCTGTTGTATGTTTACCTTAACATAAAACAGACGGGTAGATGACGCGGTTAACAAGGCTCTCTTCAAGGCCTCTGGACTTCTCTTCAAAAACAGTCATTTCACCTTTCAGCACAGCATTAGAGTGGCTACGAAATTGGCTGTCTGAAGGGAACTACAGTGACCAAATATTTTAAATATAGTGTACACTTAAACCAGTATTTATTCTTTTAGTTGGCTAGAATATGTTTGCGTTTGCCCTCATCCACAGCAGTTCATTGCTATACCTCCGCGTCGGTACTCCACTTTAAGTGTTTGACTTACTATATAATAGTTTGAGTAAGACTGCTCATATTGTTCTGTTGCAGGTCTGAGCTGGAGCAGCTGCAGGTGAAAGTCCTGCAGGGCCGGGAGCAGTACCAGCAGACGTCTCAGTCCAGCACCGCCGTCTCTGCTGTGCCCGTCTTCAGCATCAACGACAAGTTCACCCTCTGCCAGGACGACGCCAGCTACAGCCTCATGCTGGAGGTGCAGACCGCCATCGACAACCTGCTGCTCCAGGTCTGCTCATTAAAAGAAATCGCTGAGCGTTGCAACCTCTGGTGCCTAGAGACTGTCCTTGTTATAAATCCTGCTCTCGATCCCCTGTTGCACACATAAACATACAAAATGTAACTTAACCATGAATATTCTGTGCAGAGCGACGTCCCTATAGACCTGCTGGATGTGGACAAGAACTCGGCAGTTGTCAGTTTCAGTGAATGTGACTCAGAGGTGAGATGGTTAAACTCTTTGTACACAGACATACTTTAAAATAAATGCTGTTCCCAGAAATCTGACTTTTTCTATTCCGTCTCCAGCAGCCTAATGGGAACTTTCTCCTGGCCACGTACAGATGTCAAGCTAACACTACCAGGCTAGAGCTCAAGGTAAGACCTGCATTAAAGCTCTGCAGATTGTTAAACCTACAGTACGTCGTCTATACAATACCATAGTGAGCCTTTCTTTCTGTTATAGAGTGCCAGAGTGACGCGTCCTAAAACCCGGAAGTAAACTCCTTCCGGTTCCTTCGTCAAAAACGCAATGCAATTTCTCCATAAGATTTAGGAAAATAGCTTGAAATAAGGTCTGTGGTTGACACGCATTTAAGAGACGGATCACGTTTTGTTCAGCCGGATCATCTCCACATGTCTACCCTACTTTTATAATCTTCTAATCATAAATCGAATCGCCAGAAGCAAATTGCTAATGTTATGCTCTAAAGGAACTACAGCCGAGTACAGCAGCACAACTTCAACGTCACGCCAACTTAAGATCCATATTAAAAACTACAGATTCAAAATGTTACAAGTTGAAGCGTTTGTTTGAACAGTTTGCAGGAGGCAGGTACTTGCTTTCAAGCAGAACACGGCAAACAAACTTAGCGGGAGTGTTTGGGTGTTCGGCGTAATGACGTACAACGGCCTCGACAACTTCTGTAGTCCTATTCAGCCACTTGGTAACAACCATCGTTTTTCAGACACGTAAACTCTTCAAAAATCACCAGTGGGGTCACTGCTGATGGATTTAATGTCGTAGAACAAAACGTGATCCGTCTCTTAAATGTGTCTCAACCACAGACCTTCTTTCCAGCTATTTTCCAAAATCCTATGGAGAAATTGCATTGCTTTTTTGTCGAAGGAACCGGAAGTGGTAAACATGCTAACTTACTTCCGGGTTTTAGGACGCGTCACTGTGGCACTCTATTATGAGTCGCATTCCTAAGTACTCATTTCATTAATCAATTTACAATGACTGTTCTAGGTGAGGTCCATTGAGGGGCAGTATGGCACCCTGCAGGCGTACATAACCCCGAGGCTGCAACCAAAGACATGCCAGGTCCGCCAGTACCAGATCAAGCCTCTGTCCCTGCACCAGCGCACACACAGCATAGACCAAGAAAGGTCAAACAAAAATCCGAACTTGATCAAACCTTAGATTTTTATCTGGATTTTAATTGAAGCCATGAAATCCTATCCAAATCCTATTTTTTGTGTCCGTCTTACAGGCCGATGAACAGGCTCAGTCTGGTGGGACAGTTCAGTTTTGCTGAGATCCACTCCTGGGTGGTCTTCTGTTTGCCGGAGGTGCCTGAGAAAACACCGGCAGGAGAGAGCATCGCTTTCTATTTCCACAACACTTTCCTTGGGACACAGCTTGAAGCAACTTATTGGTAAATAAATACAAGTACACAGTAGAAAGGCTCTCCTAGGATTGCATATACAATTGAAGACATTATTACATTACATTGCATTTAGCTGACGCTTTTATCCAAAGCGACTTACAATAAGTGCATTCGACCAAGAAGATACAAACTTGAAGAAGACAGAATCATATAAGTACATCAGGTTTCATAGAGCCAAAACATTTCAAGTGCTACTCAACTAGCTTTAGATAAGCCAGTCCTTTGTTAGTATATAAGTGCTTTATTAGTATATAAGTGCTTAGTTAGTATATAAGTGCTTTGATAGTAATTCTATCGCTCGAAGTGGAGTCGAAAGAGATGAGTTTTCAGTCTGCTCCGGAAGATGTGTAAGCTTTCTGCTGTCCTGATGTCAATGGGGAGCTCATTCCACCATTTTGGAGCCAGGATAGCAAACCCACGTGATTTTGCTGATGGGATTGCATTATGAGATCACTGACAAGGGGGTTGTACCATTTCTTGTCTAATCCCCCTAGAAATGATTTATTTATGTTTGTATTTCAATCAGGAGAGACTTAGTTCGTAGTTGATGACATCTTTTTTGCCGTATGCACAATAGCGTTTTGGAGATAAGACCCCATCATACTGTGATGAATTAAGGGGGAGGAGAAGCCGACTAGAAAGAGAAACCCCACGGGGTCTAGACACTGGTGGTGGTGAAGTACTGAAGGGAAATACAAATCCGGAGTGATGAGGGTTCTTCTGGGCGATCCTGCCGTGGATCTGATGAAACTGGAGGTGAAGGAGGGTTGCATCAATTCTCCTGAATGATGCTGGCAGGGGAGAGAAAGAGCAGATTTAAACGTTTGCCGGGTGTGCTGTGATTGGCTGTGGGGATAAGACGCAACTGATTGGTTTAGCTGGGGTAAGTTGCGCCTTTGCTTATTGAGAAAAAGGGCGAGTGAGAGAGAATTGTGAATGAGAGCGTGGGAACCAGTCTTCCTGAAAGAACTTGCGCTGAGCTTCATTTGACCTTTTCCTACTAAATTGTATAGGTTTTGTTTCTGATTGTACTTGGAATTAAATATTTTAATTGTATTCTTACTCCTAGCAAAGGGGAGGGTCACTTCAAGTCAGACAACATCTCTACCATCTCCATACTGAGTGATGTTCTCTCCAAAGAAGCCACCAAGAGGAAAATCAATCTGAACGTTTCATACGGTATGTGCAATTGTTCATAAAGTTCCAGGGAAATATCTATACCAAAATAAATCCTGTAAAACAAAAATGTTTGTTTGTCAATCTTTCAGATATCAATGATGACTCTGTGAGCCACACCCTGAAGATGATACATCCAAAGCTGGAGTACCAGTTGATGTTGGCTAGAAAAGTTCAGCTTATCGATGCACTAAAAGTATGTATTGGTTCAAAGTGACATCTTTCAGGAAAAATCCATTCTGAAGCTGATATCCGTTTCAATATGTTCCCGTGTATGCCCACAAGCCCATCTTTGGTTAAAAGTACTCACCCATTCTCTGTGGGCTGTACAACAACAATTACTAACCTCCACTTCACTTTCTCTCTGATGTCTGTGATTGGCAGGAGCTTCAGGTCCATGAGGGAACCGCTGACTTCCTCATCCCAGAGTACCGTAACATCCTGGATGAGTCCAATAATCTCCTTGTGGAGTACAAGAAGCAGCCAGCACATCTTGAGAGGCTTTACGGTGCAGCTTATTCATTACATTTCACTCACACTAAATTCAAAAAATGTATATTTGCAGATTACTCCAGCTAACAAATATTGGGTATTCCCAGAATCAATAATTTTTTTTAGAAATAATAACTTCTCAGTTTGTTTATTTATTTAATATTGTTTACATTACTTTTTATTTATTTTTTCCTTCTTATTTCTTTTCATCGTTATGCGGTTGAATTATTATTTCAGCCCTGGAAATTGCCTTGTAATATTTGTATTGGTGTATACGAGTGCATTTGTGTACTTATACACCTGAACATATGGTGCTTATGTATATTCTGTGTATGTGTGAACATATGAATGTAAAATAAGTGTTCACAATGTTTATATGCATATATTATTTAAGCAATAGCTCACGACAGGCCGTGGTATATGCTCATTATATCACAGCTAAGGGGCGTGGTTCGGCCCGACGCGAAGCTGCAGGCAGTTTGCTTTTCAGCCCAACTGTATACTGTTTATCTCAGACGCGGAGGGATACTGACTTGTTGTGAAAAGTAACTTACAATTCTACCCGTGGTATACGCTCAGTATACCACGGCTAAGAACCAATCAGATTGCTTGATTTTACTTGTCCGTTTTATAATATTATTTATTTGCCAAGTACATGTGTACATATATATATTTGTATATATAGTATTTTCCTTTTCAAAAAAGTTAGTCAACTGCTATTGACATGTGCATAAAATGACCTATCTAGTTTTCATATATATATATATATATATATATATATATGCATTTATTTATTTTTTCCCCAGTTTTCTTTATTTCTTTGTACTGCTTAATTTCTATACGTTTTTAACGCAATAATGCCAATGTTATATTAGGATGATTCACGGGAGGGCTACTTCCCATAAGCTATGCTTCAGCCCTCCCGCTTCTACTCATTTTGTTTATCTTTGTGTGTATGAACTATATATCTTTCTTTTTTGGATGAATTAGTAGAATAAAAAAATTAAAAAAACACTCTGAAATATAAATAATATTATAAACTAATATTTCTTTTTTCTTTCCCGTAGGAATGATCACAGACCTCTTCATCGACAAATTCAAGTTTAAAGGCCAGAATGTGAAAACCAAGGTGTCCTCATTGCTGGAGATTCTTGATAATTATGACTTAAATTCACTTTTAGACTTTTTCAATGAAGCATGATAACATGTAGATCAAAGGGCGAATATGTATTTACTTGTTTGTCTTTCAGTGTCTTCCTTTGTGCTATTTTTGTATTGTAAATACAAAAGTTAGGTTTTATGATAGTAACTATCAGTGTCAATGTCCTGTTGTTATACCGTCATTTAGATGACATGTGTTGTACAGTAAATAAATATTTATATCATTTATTTTGGTAGCATCTAAAACAATTGTGTTGTTTAATAAACTACTGCAAAGATTGTACAGGTTGCTATATTTGTTCGTGACAAAGCTTTGGATCAAGTTTCAGTGACCAAATATAAGCCAGTTAAAAGCACACAGATTTGTAAAGCACTATGAGTTCCCCCTTTTTTGGAAACATTGAATAATTCAAGGAGCTATTGGAAAGTATAGAGAACAATTACAACTTAATAAGAAGAAAACACGTGTGTGATACCATGAGACATATGTTACAAATGTGCAGTCATTTCCCACACAACACTAAACTTTCTAAAGTCTCATTCCTATAATTTATTCATATATTTACATGTCCATAGCCTTTATGCCTATCTATTTTACAAGGTGCCACACGACTCTAAATGCTTGTCATGCTTCTCTTACCATAATAAAGTACAGAAACTAAAATCTATCACCACTGATAAAAGATCACAGCCACATTAGCCTAAATAACTTGAATGTGTTGTGTTGCAAATAATGTTTCTATATCAAATAATTGATGCAAATTAAATTCCAATAGAGCATGTGTTTGTATTGTCTGATGATATTTTATTATAAATAAAATAAAGTTATTATTATTATTATTATTAGTAATATATTAATTTTGGATGTTTACTCATTAATGCACAATGTATATACTACATATGAGTAATTTTAAGTATATTTTGATGGTAATACTTGCAATACTTGTACTTGTTCCAGAGTATTTATGCAAAGCTTTATTACTAGTTATACTTAAATACACGCTGTGGATACCATACCGCAGCTGTTACGCTGCACAATAACTTGTGCGCCTTTTACATTCAAATGTGTCAAACCGGTTCTGAATTTGCAATCAAGCGAACATTGTCCTCTACCGGCACCCGTACAACTGCCCTCGTCACTGCCTGTGCAGCCTGTGATTGGTCCGTTTCAATCCTCGCGGGCTACTTGAACTGAGAGAGTGCTACAAACCTACATCTGCACGATTTACTGTTTATGCTCTGAAGGCTAGCTGCTGCTGCTGTTGTTTGCAGGTTGGTAAAATCGTTTTGGAACTACTCCTGAGTATGGCGACTTGAGAAACACATTGAACCTCGTTGTAATTGTACCACCGGTGCACTTGGTTGTGTTTTGTAGCTTTGTTGATTTAAGCGCCTCAGTTCCAAGAGTCGTTGCCATCTCAACAGCACCTTCCTCAGCAAGCTAGCAGCTAACGCTAGCCTTCATATATAACCTTCCATACGCGATACTTCGAAACTCTTTATATTTGAGTGATTTACAAGACCACACACCAGCTGTAGCATCTCAGCCAAACAAAGACAGTTTGTTATTTGAGGGGGAAACATGTCTGGAGTTAGCAGAGAGAGAAGCGCGGCTACTAGTGCGCTTCACAACCAAGAGAATGTGCTGTCGCGACTGAGGGGCTCCATGAAACCCCGAGCTGCTGCAAACGAAAACCAAGAAAACCCTGCACCGAAACAAGGAGCCGCCGGCAGCAGAACCGTGCTGGGAGCCCTGCAGAACAACCTGCGGAGCAAAGCCCAGAACCAGTGCGAGAAACAGGTCAGTGTGGGGACAACGATGCTACCATAGCTCACCTAGCTGCAGCTAGTGTCTGCTAATTATGACTGTAAATAAGAAAGGAGGGGGTGCCATTATAGTTTTTGGAGGCAAATCATTGGTTACACTCGCTAGTTAACATTACTTCAGCTTTACTGCTTCATGGTTATAAAACAATGCAGATTAATGTACTTTTAAAGATATTGGATACTTCTGTCTTCCAGATTGTCCGCCATTTTGATCTCACCATTTGTGAAATACTTAATCCTTTTACTGCTGTATTCAGCGGATTTGATTATACACTACAGACTTGTCTTGTGGTTTAATTTCTAATTAATACTCTGTGTGTACGTGAGTTCCTCCCGCCTTCTCTGTTGGTTTTATACAATGAGTGGCTGTTGCATAAGTGCTCTATGCTAACATCCTATTTTAGATGCACAAAAAATGTATGCGATATTGATGTGCTTTATAAAAGTAACTAGTGCAATTTCACATGCCTGATTTGATGCAATGTGACCTTCCTTTTAAATCTCCTCTAAAGCTTCCTTTTAAATCTTTTACAAGTAAACACAATTACAATCTCCATGCTTTCTGTAACCTCTGTATATGAGTCTTCAATTATATATTTAGATTGTAGAACCAACACTTTTTAATGTCTTGTACTATTGTAGGGTTATTTAAGGGGTGTAAACATTTCCCATTGTGGGATAACTAGCTCAACTGTTTTTTTGTTCTGCTTTCAGGAATCATCACAGTCCTTGTCCTGCAAAAATGAAGATTTGGGCAAAAACTGCTCAGAGAAGCCCGTCGCCAAGCCACCCATCTTCCAGATCCATGTGGATGAGCCTGATGGCGCCTGCATCAAGAAGCCACAGCCTGTGGTCAAAGCAAAGGCCAGCGCTGAAGAGTCTTCCCTCTCAATCAGTGCTGTGGCACGGCTCCGACAGCCCCGACAGCCCCTGGCCACCCTCGATATTCCATCAGCAATGGATGTCAGCTTTGGTGGGTTCTGAATACATTGCAACATTTACAAGGCACCTCAGACAAACCATCTTCATTTTTGTAATTGACAATCTCAATCCTGTGCTTTGCAGAAACTCACAATTTTCATTGCACTAAATGTTAAACTTTTCTTTCCTCAGACTCTCCCATGGACATGTCTGTGGTTGAGGGGGAGGAGAAACTAGTTGATGTAAATGATGTCTCAGAGTATGCTGCTGAAATCCACACATACCTGAGGGAAATGGAGGTGAGAAATACTACAAATGCATCTCTGCCTCAATCCTTTAAGCCATGTTTTGCAAGTCAAATATAGGCATTTTCTAGAGCTCATTCAGGTATTCACAATTCTCCTGCAAGTTGTTGAGTAACTCTCTGCTCCACAGATTAAGACCAGGCCTAAAGCAGGCTACATGAAGAAGCAGCCTGACATCACCAACAGCATGAGGGCCATCCTGGTGGACTGGCTGGTCGAAGTTGGAGAAGAGTACAAGCTCCAGAATGAGACTCTGTACCTGGCTGTAAACTACATCGATCGCTTCCTCTCATCCATGTCTGTCCTGAGGGGAAAGCTCCAGCTGGTCGGCACCGCCGCGATGCTGTTGGCTTCGTATGTACACATATTATATTTAGTATATTGAAATGCAATGTTTTATCGTATTCTATATTTCAAAATCTGTCTTTCCTGCTGTGTGAAATGTTTATTTTAATGTTCCTCTGCAGGAAATTTGAAGAAATCTACCCCCCAGAGGTGGCAGAGTTTGTTTACATCACAGACGACACCTACACAAAAAAGCAAGTGTTGAGAATGGAGCATTTGGTGCTTAAAGTGCTTTCCTTTGATCTGGCTGCTCCAACAATTATCCAGTTTCTCACCCAGTACTTCCTCAATAAGTCAGTCAGCAAACACGTGGAGAGCCTGGCAATGGTAAGCTTGCAGAAAAAATATTTTATAAAATTCACAATGCTTCTGGACACGTTGTCAAACATTTTCTATCCAAGGGGGCAAAGATTGATCCTTACATTTTGTTTGCAGTACCTTGGGGAGCTCAGTCTGGTCGACTCTGATCCCTTCCTGAAGTACATCCCATCCCACACAGCAGCTGCAGCCTACACTCTGGCAAACCACACGGTGACTGGTGGCTCATGGGTACGTTTTTAGATAATAGTCTAAACGACACCATATTGCATAATGTGAAAAATATATTTGTGAAAGCCTCTGCCGAAAGATGTCAGTTTAAACATCTAGCTTCCCCTGAATGGGAAGCATTTTCCTTCTGTGTGCAAACAGCAACATGACTTTCCATGTCTTCTCCTCAGCCCAAGTCCTTGACAGAGATGACCGGCTACTCCCTGGAAGATCTGATGCCTTGTGTTGAGGATCTGCACCAAATTTATCTCAATGCTGCTCAGCATGCACAGCAGTCTGTTCGAGAGAAATACAAGGGCCCCAAGTAAGTAGGCTTCTACTCGTCTCATTATTGGACGCCTTGGATTGGCTATGTTCTATGCAGTCGAACAATTGTTCTAAAATGCTTTATTTATCTTCCAGGTACTCTGAAGTTTCCCTCATCGATGCACCATCGAAATTGCTGCTGAACTAACTTCTCCCCCTCCCCATGTAGAGTTTTGTAACCCTGTCAGTCTTTAATATTTTTTTTAAATGATGTATGCCACAATTTAAAATGACATTGCCTACTCTTCTTGGGGTAGCACTAGATGTTTAGAGTTTTTTTTAAAAAAAGGTATTTTTATATAATCCTGACATCACACCAGATGCTACTGTTTTGTTGGTGAATCAAGCAGTTTTAATGTTGACTTTTAATCGCAGACAAAATGTTGAGTTCTTATCAGCGCTCATTCTGCTTCAAGCTACAGTGTCTTAAACTCCACTAGACCTGTAATGTTCTGAACTCAAAACCAGTTTTTTCCACTTTTAATGGTTTTGGGTCAAAAGCAGTCATTGTTGATAGTTAAACTTTTGACCTTGTGAAATGCAGATTAAAGTACATTTTGTCTGTAATGGAGTCAGCTGTCATTATATTGGTATCTTGTAAGTTCTACAGCTTTTTTCAAGGCCCGATCTGCACTGTAAAATATGGCTCTTGTAAATAAAATTCATTTAAAGTCAGACTTCATCTCTACATCTTTATGGTCACATTGAACACATGGGGGCAGCAGAGGACCAGTTTTGCTCAAAGGTTTTCTTCTATTTACAAAGGGAAATTCAATTGATGGTGATTCCATGTCTTGAAATGGACATTCTATTTGTAACATCTCTTATGCAATACTTTGTGTTCAAACACTCTGACTCCAACAGAAAAGTCAACATGAGTTGGCGTAGCTCGGATTGTATTAAAACCATCATTTAACCTGTCGGGACTAGCCTTCTGCATTTTATACAGGGTGTCCGCGGGGTCTTAAAAGGTATTACAAGTTGAATCAATTTACGGAAAATTAAAGATGGGGTAGGTAAGTTTGAGAAA